GGCAATTAGTATCATCTATAATCAAATTTATATCCCCATCATTACATACGGTTGCTGCAGTTGGGGTAAAGCTATTCACAAAGTACATCTTAGTAGAAAATTGATATCATCTCAAAGGAAAGCTCTACTTTTATTAACTAGGGCATACCGGACAGCTCCTAACTGTAGTTTGCAAGTAATTTCCAGAAAGCCACCAATAACTGAGATTATTCAAATGGAATATAATCTTCAACAGCTCAAAATGGGAAATGATATTTCTACTTCCACATGTGACTTCAGTTACAGCATTTATGAACATCCAAGTCCCATCAACACCAGTCTACCGCCTAACATCAACAATTTTATTAGTATTGATTCACCCATCTTTTCTGATTTACAGATATACACTGATGGCTCTGGCATAAACGACTCTATTGGATGTGCTTTTGTCGCATATTGTAACGAAGTAGAATTTTACAACCAGAAAGGGAAATTACATAAACTTTGCACTGTATTCCAAGCTGAATTATTCGCGATCTACATAGCTACCCAATGGACCGAGCATAATTTTACTAGAAAGAACATCCACATTCTTAGTGACTCTTTCTCTGCCATACAGGTCATTTGCAGTAAACAGTTACATCCGATTGCCACAAATATTCGCAACCTAATTAATAATTCTCATAATAACTACATCATTTCTTGGACCAAAGGACACCAAGGTATGGTAGGAAATGAACGTGCAGATCAACTAGCGAAGGAAGCTGCTACTGACGATTCATTAGACACCATATATAACAAGATTTGCAGAAGAGGAATTAAAAAACTATTATATGAAGATCTTTTAAACCGATGGCAACTCAACTGGGACTGCAAACATAATGACACGACTTTTAAATTTATACCTAACGTCAAGGAATATCATAATAAATATAAATGGGTAATTCCAAGTTTCCCCCTTACTCAATTTCTTACCGGACATGGCAAATTTTCAAATTATCTACATCGATTTGTGAATAAGCAAAATGATCTGTGTGCCATATGCGGACAACCGGACAGCGTCGACCATTATCTTTTTACCTGTATTTCTCTCGAAAGAGAACGTTTAGAACTAAAAATCATTGCTCATAGATATAACCTCAACTGGCCATGCAAACATGAAGATCTCATAAAAAATAAAGAAATTTTTTCTTCCTTTCTTCTACTAGTTAAACGCCATGAGACTATAGCAACCTACGCAACTAGGGAATAATTCTTAATTTCAATTACTTTTACCTTACTTGATAAACTTGTTTATTTTCTTGAAAACTTCTTGTAGTCTTGTTCTTTTATTCGGTTTTTGAAAGTCCTATTATTGTTGTTGGATTCGCTATATTCGACATAGTTTTGAGGTTAACTCTCTTGCATTTTCTGTCGTCAATTGTTAACGACCCTTTTCTTACATTTGCCACTTTGCTGAATTGTCAGAGGACTTGACAGATGAAAATGTTTTACTACCATATAAAGGCTTCGATGGATACGTGATTATTAAAAACATCCAACATACTTTAATCACTATGCCTCATCTATGACCTTTGTGTTCAGTCAACGTGTTAATTATCTTCATAATAATCGAATACATCACTCATCAGTTCGCAAAAAGAATTGCAAAGTCTCCTGGCCAAATAAATTGCTTCAGTGCAGAATCATGGATGTCTTATACACATTGTCTCTGACGTAGATACGTGAATTAACATAAGATATCTTGGATACATTGTCTGTACCGCAGACACGTGACTTTTATAAAAAAAGTGTGGATTATGGATATCTTGAAAACATTGTTTGAGCTGTAGACAAGTGACCTTAATTGAACCTTGTGTCCTTATTCTAAACCGTTTGCTTTCTCTGCGCCTCTGCTGCAATATGTGTTTTCTCCATTTGAGAAAGGACATGACATTTGGATACAGCCTATGTGCTGTAACGATAGAGACGTGCTAGGCAATTATCTGAGCCCATCTTGTAGTAATAATCAATGCCAACTGCAAGTCTAAGGAAACTTTGCATTGATGTGACTGGATAAGACCATTATCGATGTGATTGGATAAGAATACGCCGTTGGATTAGAAAAGCAGTGTTCAACTTTGCGACTTGGCTTCATAAACTTTTGCTGGTTGATAGTCTGAGTGATCTAAACATCTGTGTGATAAGAATACACCATCCAATCAGGAAAATACTGTACAACATGCAACTTGGTTGTATAGTCCATAAACTAGTGATGGTCGATGGTCTGTGTTATCTAAACATCTGTTATGAACTATACACGGCTTCAACATTGATGAGCTTCGACAAAACTTACCACCAAACTAGAAAAACTGTGCTGTGGACACTCGGCCTCATAAGATTTCATAACACTCTGTTTGTATTACGATTAGAATACAACACGCCCAGTTTATTGTTATATAGCATAAGTTTAGTTTTAAGATAGTCATAAGTTTAGTTTTAAGATAGTCATAAGTTTAGTTTTAAGTTAGTTTTAGTTTATTTTCGTTCACCTCTATTTTATCTTATGTACTTTCCTTTTAATAACCTGCATGACAAGCTGTAAGATTATATCTATATTGGTACACCCAACACCTGTATAACCATTTCTATTCATTACCACGGTATCGATTTGTAAAATTCAAGCTGATATTGTACAACTTATTTACTTTGTCTTCCTACAATTTGTCAAACGGTTTTATCATTTCTAAATTATATTTTCATATAAAAATTGTATATATATTTCTCAGCTATGTATAATACGGTACTGGGAATGCACCTGCAAGGTGCCTAATAAAGAATAAGTGTAAGTGTAAGTGTGTTGAGGGTTGACAAGAGGTCACCTACAAGTGTCAACCGTCGGTGAGAAACATTACCAAAAATGGTCAGTCATCTCCCCAGATGATGACGCATTTAATACTAATTGGTCAAGCGATGTCTATAGTGTCGTCACCCACGAGGGGGGAGACTGTCATAAATCGGGAGAAATGACAGATTGCGTCAGAGNACAAGGTCCGTGTTCGTGAGTTAGGCAGAGACTCACATCTGAAAAATAGGCTCCAGTCTCCCTTGGTTACCAGTAGAGAAAGCAACGTCGGCCCAAGCATGGCTACTGCAATGTACTCAACAGATGTGAGGAACCAACCTAGCCTTGGTGTTTCTGTGGCAATGCATCCACAGACCACAAAGGCTGGAAAACCAATGCCAATTACCACGGTATCGATTTGTAAAATTCATACTGATATTGTACAACTTCTTTACTTTGTCTTCCTACAATTTGTCAAGCGGTTTTATCATTTGTAAATTATATTTTCATATAAAAAATTGTATATATATTTCTCAGCTATGTATAATACAGTACTGGGAATGCACCTGCAAGGTGCCTAATAAAGAATAAGTAAGTAAGTAAGTAAGTAAGTAATAACCAATACATTCCCCTTTTCATTATAACGTTGTAGATACAGTCTGACATTGATTGTATAAGTTTTTGAAGGACTACTGTAGTTATTTCTTCTATTATGATGTTAACTACATGTTTTAACTCATCTACACTGTTATATTGGCACCCATTAGCATATACAGATGTAGCTAAGATTCCCAGAGGTTTTTCATTGGATTCAAATCTGGGGAACGAGCTGTCCAATCAATAATTGGTATTCCATTATTTAAAAACCATTCATAAGTTAATTTAGCTGTGTGGATAGGGGCATTATCTTGTTGGAAAAACCAATGATTTTCAGCAATTATAGCAACCCAAGGCAAAAGATAACTTTCTAACATGTCTTGATAATGATTTGCATTCATTCAGCCAATGAGGAATTCATATTTGTCTTGCTAAACCAACTAAACTCACTCCATACCATCACTGAGCCTCCACTTGCCACCATTTTGAAAATATTATTTCCTCACTCCTCAAATCATGCTAATAACAAGTTCAACCACTGGTCCATTGAGATTAAACTTCTTTTCATCACTCCAGATGATGTGCTTCCATGTGTCTGTGCATCCCATTTTCTCCCATGCCCATTGCAAGTGCTTTTTGCTCATGGCTGGGCGTTAGTGATGGTGCAGGCTTTTTCTTCTTATAGATGAAATGCTGAGATGTACTAACAATTCTTCCAATTGTAGATTTTGATACATTAAGCTCTGGTTTTGATGCTAGATTTTGTAAAGATATTTAATTGTGTTTGATTTTCCTCAAAATACTACATTTTACTGTATTTGTGAACTTTGAAGGTCGACCTGTTAATTTCTTTTATCTGTATTTGTCTCCAAGCTTTATGAAATTGTCAATTATAGTTGGAGAATGATAAATTTTCTTTGCAATTGATCTTGCTGAGTAATTTTCATCTCTTAAAGCTGAAATCTTGCCTTTTCAACAATTGTTAAGGGTTTTGCATGTCCCATGATGAAAAACAATTCATTTACATCAATACATAACAGAAATAAACATTTGAAATATGTGACAGTTATACTGTGGTACTGTATGACCTCTATTATTAGAAAATCGAACCTGCCTTTAAATTATTGGGACAGCAAGAAACATGATTTTGATTTAAATTAATTTATTGTTAAGTGTTAAACAATATAATTACATGATTTTTTAGTATGTTTATTTGTAAGTTGTAACTACCTCAAAATTAAATTGGTTTTCTCATATGATAACTAGTTTATCTTTTATTTGCATAAAAAGTTGTGCCTTTATATTTATGGAATGCACCTTATTAATAAAATGCAAATAAGGCAAATACTTTCTTACCAAATTATTAAACCATTGAATTCACTTTACTTCCAATAATTTGACAATCTCTTTAAATCCAATATTGTTCTAGTGCCATATATGTGAGATTATTGAAAATGTACTGTATGTATCTTATCTAGTATTATCTAGTATAAGTTACAGTTATTTCAATCTCATATATAAAATGATCAATATGCTGACGATCACGCCAAAATACTATATTGTAAAAAGAGAAAACGCACACGTAACGCCGACCTCAGTGTCTTCTCTTTTTATCATATATAAGGTTTTATTATTTGATATTATTGTTACAAATCATAATAATAATATAATAAAGTATAAGAATAATATCATACTTTACGAGAGATTGTAACACCTATTATTGGCATAAATTTTCTTACCAATATCCATAATTCTTTCTCCTGCTCTTTGACTCTGCCATTGAGAAATTAAATCTTTTTCCATATATTGCAATTTTCTGTCTTGAAATCCCACTTTAACAACACTCTAAATAAAAAATAGTATTTATTTATTACATTATTTAAATGAATATATAATAAATTTATAAATTATATATATTCATACAAAAATTAATACTAGACGTAATTGTAAAAATTTTCTAAATAAATTTCAATGCAATAAAAAAACTCAGGTGTAAAAAAACAGTTATCGTTATTTCATATGCATAACCTATAATTTGTGTGGTTGCCTAGTATGTCTAATTAAATAAATAAAATAAATAAATTTGTGTGGTTAAGAGGCAACTTGAAAGGTGATATGGAATACAGGATAGAACATGCTATATCAAATTTTAAACTGAAATAATGAATTCATCAGCAGTTTTTCTTTGAGGACTGCAGACATATTCTTCTATCATCATAATTTCTCCCAGCAAAATAAATCTTTGTTTTATGTCTTTCTAAACAATAAATGAATGAAAACAGAATTTCAGCATTCTAGTGGATGATCTGACTATTATAAAACATTAAACCTTTACATATATGAAAGCACATCTTTCATTTAAACAAGTTGGCTGTCAAATGAAAAAAATTGTTTTTATCATACAGCTTCATTTCTGCTTTATTATTTCAAATAATAATAATAATAACTCTCCCATGGTCACCACCTGGTCGTAGTGAGAGCCCAGTAATTTTACCAAACCATAGAGCAATGCAGGCTGAAGCACAAGCTCCTGGTAGGGACACCCATGCCACTAAGGTCTATGGGGAGAAACGAAGCTAAGAGTGACCACACCCACATTCTGTGGAGATAATTATCATGGTAGTAACCAGATCAAAGTGTGATACCAGCTCGGACACCGCCTGGGTTAACAAGGTCCGTGTTCGTGAGTTAGGCAGAGACTCACATCTGAAAAATAGGCTCCAGTCTCCCTTGGTTACCAGTAGAGAAAGCAACGTCGGCCCAAGCATGGCTACTGCAATGTACTCAACAGATGTGAGGAACCAACCTAGCCTTGGTGTTTCTGTGGCAATGCATCCACAGACCACAAAGGCTGGAAAACCAATGCCAATGGATGAAATGGACATCAGAAATGAACGAGTTTATCATCCGTACTTACTACACCATCACAAGACTTGAAACAAACATGATAGCATACAGACAACAACTACACCATAGATTCACAGAACAATATCCTCACCTCACTGTCACCAAACAAAGAATTGTTGATCAAAAAAGAACGATTATACACAACAACCTTATCCCACAAACAACACTTGAACTTATCAAACAACAGGTTGCTGATCAAATACATCAACAGACAGAAACATTTAACATTAATGAAGATCACGTAACCTGTCAGGATAATCCNTTTGAAAAACACAAATATTTGTTTTATTTGTGTCTCTAATTAATAAAAACGACGAACCACCATTTTGAAGTGCATTTTTATTCAATTTATATAATTATAAATAATATGTAACCGAAAAAGTAGCCAAAGCGCCAAATGATATTTTTTACGTCAAACCAAAAAAAGTAGCCACATTTGGCCCAATGTAGCCAAATCTCGCAACGTTGGAAGAAATACTAAATAAAGCTGGAGCTGTGAATCAAAGGATTATAGACCCAAGTGCGGAAAAAAGAGGCAAAAAACAAAAGATAAAGAAGTGAAAAAGGTTGAAAAATTATGGGTCCATATTTGCTTAACAGAAGATCTATTTAACCTTTCTCACTACTACATCTTTTGTCCTTTCTCATCTTTCCCTCCTTTTCCCAAATTTGGGTATATAATTCTTTGAGACACAACTCCAGCTTTATTTAGTAATCCTTCCGCATTCACACATCTCCAAGTATTTGAAATATTTTCTTTCCACTCAAAAATAAAATATGAATAAAGGTTTACGGCTTTGTGAAACTTTTTTTTGAGTTTATGCCATTGAAATAAATAAATAATAAAAAATTAAAACATTTGTAGGTTTTGTTTACGCGTTTATTGGGCCGTATTAGAACTTGCCTTGGGCCGCATGCGGCCCGCGGGCCGCGGGTTCGACACCCCTGATATATATCCTTGAAAACTTTTTTCTGTATAGCACTGAAGAGCGGCTTAAAGATAAAATAAGCCCGAAATGCATATGTAACCTGTATCTTCAATAAAGGATGTTCCTGACCAAAAGGCTGTAAGATCGTCAACCGGAATTCTCGTAATTTTTCGGATTAAAGAGACATATATATGTATGAACGGATAAACGGCTACCATCACAGATATTTGAAAACATATAACATCTATTAATTTAGATATATCTATTAGCCGTAGCTATCTTGTTATAATTTTCGATATTTATTTTATAGGTTCAACATTATTAAAATTCTCCATATTGTTGGGTTACCTTTACCCTGTTAGCCGCATAAATATTAATGTTATGCGTTGCCCGCCCCCACGTGGTCTGATGGTTGACACGAGCGTAGGGTAGGATTTTCGGGGGTTATTATTATTATTATGTTGGGTTTAGTAAGTTATACTCGGTTCACATCGGTGGCTGTGTACTATGCCGGACCAGAGTCAAGGCATAGCAACCAAAACAAAACTAAAATTAAATAAGTTTGTCAATGTGTGTGTCTGTATTCAGGAATTTCCTAACAATATGGCATGTATTCAATATAGTGGCCTTCTGTAGTGTTATGTATGTATTTCTATTCAATTGTAATGTTCCCAGGCTTTTGTGTAGTGTGTGTGGTNACTGATACACAGCACAGTGGCACACCAACAGAAGAGGAACTCACAACTTATTGGTCTTCTCTTTGGTCCAATGCTGTTGCACACACTGCTGATGCAGGCTGGATCGAGGAGGAGAACAGAAACTTGCATAACATACCAACTATGCCCTGTGCTGAAATAAATGTACACGACATCTGCTACACCGTTAACAGAACACACAACTGGAAGACACCTGGTGTAGACAACATTCACAATTTCTGGTGCAAAAAATTTATATCACTGCACCAGGAGCTAGGTAAACATCTAACACACGTCATCATCAATCCACAAGACATGCCAAAATTTCTTACTCATTGCATCACCTACATGAAACCTAAAAACAACAAAACCACAGACCCCACACAATACAGACCAATTACATGTCTTCCAACACTACAAATTATTGACATCCTGTATCACAAACAAAATATACAAACATGTTGAAGAACACGACTTTCTTACAGAACAACAAAAAGGTTGCCGTAGAAATCACAGGGGATGCAAAGAACAGTTACTCATAGATTCAGTCATTCTATGGCAAGCACACAAACAACACAGAAACATACACATGGCATACATAGACTACAGAAAAGCATTCAACAGTGTTCCACACAGTTGGCTGCTACATATTCTACACATGTACAAAATACATCCATCACTCATTAGATTCTTCCAAAACACATGCAGCACTGGAGAACAACACTGCATCTCAGGGTTAGTAACACTTCCATACAAAGAAACCAAATACTCATCAGGCAAGGAATTTTTCAAGGAGATTCCTTAAGTCCTCTCTGGTTCTGCCTAGCCCTGAACCCATTATCCAACATGTTAAACAACACGCATTATGGCTACAATATCAGACATGAAAAAATAACACAGTTTACATGTCACATCTCATGTATATGGACAACATAAAACTTTATGCATCCACACAGAAACAAACTTCATCAACTCCTACAAATCACACACTCATACACTAAGGACATACAAATGGAGTTTTGGCTTAGACAAATGCAAAAAACTTCACATAGAAAAAGGAATCCTGAAGAAAGACAATTTTACACTTGGAAATGGAGATGTTATTGAATCCATGGAAGAGGGTGAGCTCTACAAGTATTTAGGATTCCAACAGGCCAAACTAACAGAATATATTTAAATGTATTAAAGATTAATTAAAGAATACCAAAGTAGGTTAAATGCTATTCTCAGAACACAATTAAATGCAAAACACACAGTTAAAGCAATAAACACATATGTCATCCCAGTGCTCACTTACTCTTTTGGAGTTATACATTGGACTCACACAGATCTCGAGCAACTTACTAAGCATAAACATCATCATCCTAACTCCGCCACATAAAGATGGCGGATGTGGCCTGATTGACATAGTTAACCTTCACTACAAACAAATACACAAACTGTGAGAGTTTTTCTACAAGAAACGAGAAACATCACAGTTATATAAAGCAGTAACTCTAGCAGACTCAAATAACTCACCATTAAACTTACACTCACATCATACAAACATGACACAACATATAAAAAGCATAGACACCATCAAGCAATCATGGGCTCAAAAGGCTCTCCATGGCAGGCATCCTTATGACCTGGCCCAGAATTTTGTTGACAAAACTGCGTCAAACAGCTGGTTAGATCGGGGATGCCTCTTTGGTGAGACGGAAGGATTCATGATTGCCATACAGGATCAGGTCATAAATACTAAAAACTACAGAAAACACATACTCAAAGATACAACACTCACAAATGACACATGCAGAAAATGTCACATCATGCCAGAAACTATACAACACATCACTTCTGGTTGCAAGCTCTTGGCACAGACAGATTACTTACATAGACACAATCAAGTAGCAAATATAATACACCAAGAGCTTGCAAAGAAACACAAATTGGTAGACATCCACGAACCATACTACAAGTATATTCCACAGACAGTATTGGAAAACAACACGCACAAAATGTACTACGACAGAGCCATAATCACAGATAAAACAATTTACCACAACAGACCAGACATCACACTCATTGACAAACACAATAAAATCACATACATTATAGACATAGCCATTCCAAACACTCACAATGTACAAAACACATGCACTGAAAAAATTAGCAAGTACACAGAACTTGCCCAGGAAATAAGGCATCTGTGGACGATAGAAAGGGTGCTTATTGAACCTGTCGTTCTCTCCTGTACAGGTGTGATACCACACACACTACACAAAAGCCTGGAAACATTTAAATTGAATAGAAATACATACATCACACTACAGAAGGCCACTATATTGAATACATGCCACATTGTTAGGAAATTCCTGAATACAGACACACACACTGACACACTAATTTTAGTTTTGTTTTGGTTGCTATGCGTTGACTCTGGTCTGGCATAGTACACAGCCACTGGTGTGAACCGAGTATAACTCACAAAACCCAACATAGTAATAATATTCATTTTAATTTTAATTTTTAAAAATTAAATAAAAAATAATTTTATTATCTTAATTTTAAGCTTAGAGAGCAAATTTCTGGTAAAAGCAGAAAGCAGAATAAATATTACATTGGCATCGATGTCCTTTCCAAAAAAAGTTTTCTGTTTTGTAAATCACAATAGCATTTTAACATAATGAACTTTTCCACTAGCAAACAGAATTCACTACTTACAATTAGTAGTGAATGAAACAACAGATTTTGGATATAAATTTAAAATTTAATTTCAATAATAACTAAAAGAATACAATTAGAAAGTATATTATTTGTAATAATATACTTTCTAATTGTATTCTTTTAGTTATTATAATTAATTTTTAAATTTTCTTTTCAATAAATAAGTATTTGAAGCCAGCATGAAAACAATTTACTGTTACAAGTTTCCATAAATTTCTGTTATTATTGCATTTGCTGTAGTTATTCACATCATTCTCATTTCACTGTTCTTGTTTTGCAAAATGGTAGTAAAAATCAAATTCATTATGCAAAAATGTTTTTCATATTTGCTTTTGCTAGTGAATATCTCTCTGAACAAAGTTTAGATTTCTCCAAAGTAGATAATAGCCAACTGATCAACCTTTCAATTCATACCATAGGATATTATTCATATTAAAATTATATTCTTTTTTCCTGGGTTTATTTTAACATTTATTGCCATTATTACATTAATAGATAAATAAAACAAATAAAGCAACAGGATAAAAATAAGCATTTTTATCTTCCACACACCCATATTTATGAGGTTCTTCTCAGATTTTTTTCTCATTTTACTTCTTTTATTAAAATAATTATATAACACTGAAAACTGAATTTAATTAAGTCCAATGTCACTATACCAGCAATATCCAGCACAAACTAAAAAAATAATAAAGCAAATGTTTTCAACAATTTTTAAATCATCATCTTGAGGTTACAGACCATCAAACTTCTACTTGAAAATTTGAATGTTACTTTAAAAAACACATGGAACAATTATTTGATTGGTTGAAAAACATTGACGTCAGTAATGACAAATCTAAGTATTTTTGTATGTAACAAGATATATAATAAACATTTTAAAGCATGGTGAGATCTCATAGGGCTTTAAGATGTTTATTATATATATATTGGGTTGTTCGGAAAGTAATTTCATTTTTTTCCATGGGAAAAAACAATATTTTTATAATAAATAAATATTTTATTGAATTATATATCAATCATTTTGGTCAAATACCTGTCGCCACCATTTCTGGTAGTAGCATGATTCCATGTTCATAAAAGTTTTGATTTTTGTGTACAAAAAACTGATCCAAGTGATTTTTGACATTTTCATTTAAAGTAAATGACTTACAGTTTAAAAAATTTTGTATAGACCAGAACAAGTAATAATCTGAGGGTACCTGATCTGGCAAATATGGTTGGTGTGATAGCACATCCCATCTAAGCTGTAACAGTTTTTGACGAGTTACCAAACTTGTGTGAAATTTGGCATTATCATGGTAAAACACTACACCTATTTTGTTAATCAATTCTGGCTGCTTTTTCTGTTCGATGATATTACTCAATTTGTTTACTCGATGGCAGTACACTTTCAAATCAGTTAAATTATCTGATAAAAGCTCAAAAAAAAATTTCCTTAAAATCCCACTAAAGAGAGCAACTCTCTTTAAGAACAAGTGGAACCCATATATCGTGCTTTGAAATGAAATCAATTCATTTTAAGTAATTGTAAATGGTTCAACTTCGACAAATTTAATCTCTTAGTGATTTCACATATTGTTATTTGGCAGTTTGCTTCAACTGACCATCCAGAATGTGATACATCTTCAATGTTGAAATTGCAAGAACGAAATTTTGTAAACCAGTTTTGGCACTGTCTTTCTCTCAACACATCTTCTCCATACATGTACCACAACTTTTTTCTTGCTTGAACAGCATTTTGATTTTTTAGTAATAAAAAAGCAAAATGTGCCAAAAAATGATGCTTTTGATTTTTCATATTTAATGGGGCACCGAAAAAAAAAAAAAAGCAACTGTACAGAATCAAACAAAATTTTTTACAAATAAGTCTTAAAATGTCAGCTATCAAAGTATATAATGAAAATTTGGTTTAAAATGAAATTGGCTGGTAAAAATACATCTAATTCCAGTAGTAATAAAAAAACAAAATTACTTTCTGAGCAACCCAATATATACCTCACCAGGTAATATATTAGATGGCTGACCTTTGAGGTGCTCAGCCTTTTGGGTTCTTAGGCCATGGGCATAGGCGTCATCCCCAGCCAGTGCCTTGTTTAACCAAGTAAGGTTATATCTAAATTAATATACTTCTGGAAGCAAAGACTTGCTTGGGGTCCAGGTGGCACAACGAGCAAGTGCACCACACGGTAACCTCCGCTTGCCAGTTCAAGCCCCGCCCCGGGTCAGTTCTTTTATTCCAGAAGGTTATAAATTATTTAATAATTTATTAAAATTATAATTATTAATTTAGTTAAGAGATGGTTACTAACGCCTCCCTTTAGTGACAAATTACTTTATATTAATTATTTAATAATTACTTTAATATAAAATTACTAAAATTAAATAAATAAAATTATAATAAAATTACTTTAATTAGTCAAATTCTAGCCTGATCTTTCAGGCAATCATTGGATGTTTCATTAAGTAATAACATTTACCTTATAGCTGAATTTCAAAGAAAGATCTCCATGCTTCGGAGAATGTTTTGGCATCTCTAATTAATGGCCATGTTCTGAAAATTACCTTTGTATATTTTGAGTATCCCTAGATTTAATCTAGTTCTTAACAGCAGTCAACAACTACTACAAGAGAGTTGTTGTTGACTGCTGTTTACCTTCAAGAGCAAGAAAACAATTACCAAGTTCATTTTCTGGATTTGGTAAACCTTCTTTTTCACACTCAAATATGACCACATCTCCACTAAAGTTTACAGAAAACTAAAGTACAAACTACTAATCATTCCATCAGAATCTAGAGACCCTTATATATTTGAAATGTCTCAATAATCTTAATCTTTGCTGTTATTATTTTTTGCTTGAGCAATGCTGGGCTCATCTGCTAGTTTTATTTATATTTAACTAATACTTTCCACAGGGCACTATTACTATATATATTATTGTATTGTCTGCTTTTAGTGTGTACAAATAAAAACATAGACAATTAAAAATTTAGCACATTAACTTTTCAATATTCAAATTTTGTTAAAATCTTTTTAATTAAGTTTAAATAATAAAATTTAAAGCTTACTTTTAACATTTTACCCCTCATCTCTGTAAGGTCTCCTAATTTCTTTAATTTTATTTCATAAGATTGACCTGCAAATAAAAAATACATGCATGCATTTGATTTTTTTCTGTAAAAAGAAATGAATTTAAGGTCAGCATCTAATTTATTTTTTAAGTTAATAATATTATTCAAATGCTTTTCAAATTAATCTAACAAGGGGACCATCAACCCTCACCTTCTTTGAATTGTTTTTTTTTTTTAATATGTTAGAGTACACTTATCCAATTAATACATAATGAAGTAACTCTTGCCAATGCACAAACATTTACAAGACATCAACATTTAGAGTTTTATGTTTTGGTTATATGGTGAGTTTGTAAAAATGAATCATGGTCAAGTGAAGTTGAATGAGTATGATGGCTGGTTGGCATATTTGATATTGCTGCTTCGATCCTCTTTCCTAAATTTCTCTTTAAAGCATTCTTTTCCTGTAATATTTATTCACGTGAATTATTATATACATTAAGCCAAAAATATTTTATAGTTGCAAATAAATTTAGTATACTTTTAAACCAACAACTAAAGGAAATGTACTAATTACTATTCAATGAAAAAATAAAAATTGTTTTGACTTTATGATTTTACTTGACACAACAAAGTTGATGCTCACACTTCAGAGAAAATGTGAATGCAAAAACTCACACATGGTACATTCCAAAGACTGGGATTGTCTTTCGATCTAACTTTTAAACCATAAACAAAATAATTGTCATAGTGTGCTAACTGTAGCAGTTGCATGTCAGGATCACCAAAACAAAATCACAAAACAATTCATTCCTTATATTTGACACAAACTGTTACTCCAGACTTTTCAATTGCCATGTAGAAAGCATTGCTGTAAGTGCAAAAAAGAATAAGTGAGAAAACGGAAGGTGTAAGTACAAGTGCAGAGACAAATATTTTGAATTTGGAGAATGCTAAACTGAGAGACAAGAAGTGAAAGGATGAGCTTGCAAATCCTCTAATTTATTGTAAAAATATGTTGCAAAGCAAAAATATAATTAATAACTCATTTCTAGATAAAATATCTTCTGTTTCCACAATTATAGAGAAAGAAATTTTTAAAATTATGCACATGCTGATAGATAGGAAAATTATCACAGACAAAGATATCAGTGCTTTCAACAAAACTGACAAAAATGAAAGACACAGAGAAGTAGACTGACTATATTTTGATGTTTTTGCTAATTTATTTGCAAACATTCTGAATTTTCTTTACTAATAGTGTAAGCATAAGTCTGAAAATGTAGATTACATTCCAGAAGAAAAGAAGACTAATTTCAATTATATTCCTCTGTCATACAAAGAAAAAATGATCATCCTGACAGAAGCATATCCAAAATGGAGTTTGAAAACTCTACACTACTACAGCTGCATGCAATTTGAAGATATGAAAAGACTCCAACAGTGAAAAACTGATATAAAACATGGAGAAACAAAGTTTGTCAAATGGAAAAAATTGAACAAGAGACTTTTGAACAATTTACAGATGAAAGAGAGTCTTTGGAGCAGGTAAAATAAACATTATCATAATGGATATTGAGACATTTATCAAAGCATTGCACAAGCTTTTCAGTTTCTTTTGCAAAGAAGCTCACTGCCTGTGTGGCAACCTTCACAGCCGTTATGGCAACCTTCATAGTGTTGTTACTATCAAATCTCTTTCTTGCTAAACATTTTTTGAAGGAACACATGAAAATCTGTAGGTGCAAGATCTAAGCTGTATGGTAGATGATGGAATGTTTACTAGCTGAATCTTCACAGAAATTGGTATGTTGCACCAGCAGTACAGGGCTGTGCATTGTTATGCAGCAGAATGACTCCAAAGGTAAGAAGATCTTTTCTTTTGTTCTAAATGGCTCTCCACAGTTTTCTTAGGTTTCACAGTAGACAGGTGTATTTATGTTTGGCCTTTGGGTGTAAACTCATTCAGTAGAACACTATGTTGATCCCAAAAATTGTGCACATGAGCTTTCTGAAAGACACAGTCTGCTTAATCTTTTTCTGTGGATGCAAATCTGTATGCTGCCATTGTTTGGATTGTTGTTTGCTCTCTGTTATTACATAGGAAACCCAAGCTTCATCTCATCAAAATATGAACAATAATTCATAGCCATTCTTCTAATAGTGTTCCAAAAATGTCAGTGCAGTTTCCATGCATTGGAGTTTGTGAGCAACTTTTTTGGCAAATTTCATAAAACAAAGACAGAAGTTTCAGGAAAAGTGCATGGAGCTCATAAATGTTAAATTTTCTGTTTTCTTGAATTGTTCCATTCCTCTGCTCCAGAAGATGAGCAGTGATTAACAAGAAGCATCCACACTGTTCATCACTGTGCATGCTGGTTCTTCCTGCTTTAAACATTGGCACCATTTTCTCATCATTCTATTCATTCTCTTTTCACCATAAACATGACAAATCTCTTGATGAATTTCAACTGAACAAAGGTTTTGCAGAAACTTGATGACAGTTTGGACTTCACACTTGGCAGGATTATTAATTTTCTTACACATTTTAGAATACAAAAACATATGCTTCTGCACTGTATCTAATCAAAAATAGCATTCAATTTCCTGCTCTAGACCTACATGTCATCATTAATATGGTGAATTATCACTGTCACTACCTGCACAATTGCTATGGGCAAACAGTACTTACTTTATGGATGTGCCTCATAAAATATATAAATTATATTATTTAAAATATGTAATTAGGAATACAGAATATATAAATTAATGAAGTATTTTTATATGTTAATGTATAGGTAACAACAAGAACTTTGCAACAATGGGCAATGAATGCATTCTTCCCTTTTTTGTCTAAAGAGTTTTTCCTCAATGCCTGTGATAAGTGGATGATGGCTTTGAACAAAAATATAGAATTAAACAGTTGAGTATAACTAGATATGGAAGTACAAAGGATTATACAACATTGGAGGAAACGATGGAGGCAGCTGAAAGGTTCAGGATACAAACAAAAGCTATCATGCCTGATTTTGAACTGGATTTCATTATAAATACAGATCAGAGCAGTTGTCAATATCAAAAACTTATAAAAGAACAATGTCATAGCAAAGGACAAAAATGGTTTCTGTGAAAAAGAAAAGTTTACATAATAAATAATATACTAAAAATAAAAAATTTTTAGTTAAAATACAAGTAAAATTATACTCTTTCTATTTCCGACTTCGAGGATTCTGTGAGCCAAAACAAGACAAACAAATGGCAAAAAACAATCATCACTTTATTAAATTTATCCATATGCATTTCGCCATCTAGGCCTCCTCAGTGGATACATCAAGATGTTATTGGTTGGTTACGTTTTATACCCAACAGCCGTTCCCAGCATGCATCAACAATCATTCCAGTATTCAAATTAATCAAATTTACATGTTTGGCGATACAAAAATGTTCTACAATTTTCCTTTCTAAATTATTTTCTATTTTATACAATATTTTAGTATTTTTTATATTTATATTACAATTAAATTCTCTACAATGTAAAAACCATGCTGATTCCGTTCTTCTCAGTCTAATGGCCGCCTCATGTTCCTTTACTCTCAACTCCAATCTTCTTCCGGTTTCTCCAATGTAATAATTTGGGCTTCCACATGTACATGACATTCTATATACGACACCGGCGATCTTAAATTGGTCTCTGGGCGAATTTTCACTATTTATTATGTTGATAATATTTGACATCTTGTTCTTTTGATTCGCAACTATGCATATAGAAAATTCTTTAAATATCGGTTTATATTTTTCAAAAAGATTAGTAACATAAGGAAACTTTACATAAGAAATACCTTCTATGCTGTTTTTAACATTAAATCTACTTTTTAAATATAAATTGTACCACTTACAGAGAATATACTTCGGATAATCATTTAACTGAAATTTCTTAAACAATTGTTTTACTTCAATGTCTATATTTTCTTGCTGAGTTGTTCTATTTAATATCTTTCTCAATTCCATGTTAAAAACGTTCTTTTTATTTTCTAAAGGGCAGTAAGATTTAAAGTTAATAGTTTTACCATTATTACATAGTTTTTCATACTTACTAAATGATACACTTGTTTCTTCTCTTTTTATGGTGACGTCTAAGAAATTCATTTCATTTTGTTGTTCATCTTCACTTGTAAACTTTAAGTTTTTATGCAATCTGTTTGCACATTCCTCAATATGTTTGGATGAAACTATTTGAGAATCATAAACTATTATTATATCATCTACGTATCTTGCATAATATTTAATACCTGTTATACTTGAAATTTTTTCATCTATTTTATTCATATAATTATCAGTCAGTTTTGGTCCTATGACCGATCCCATGGCAATACCTTTCTTCTGCCTATAATATTCTGTAGAAATTTTAAAGTAATTATTATTAAATACAAATTTTACAAGTTCTATGATATATTCAGGAACGTTATACGTTTTAAGACTTTCTATTATCATTTCTAGGGTGATCGACGGATACATAGACTTTATATCAAGACTCATAATACGAAAAGACTTTTTATAATTACCTTTTAGCAATCCATTAATCAGTTCTTCTGTATTGTGTATACTATAAGTTGATTTATCCATATACTGGAAAAAATTTTTTAAAAAACATTCCAAATTATATAAAATAGTTCTTCTAAAATCCACAAGAGGTCTGCAAGTATTACCAGGCTTGTGTGTTTTGATTCTTACATTTAACTTAGGTTCTCTTACATTATTAAAGTCCAAAATGTTCTTGACCTGATATGATGGAATTTCATTCTTATACTTTTTAATTAATTTAGTAAGTTTGCGTTTAATTTCTTCAATAGGATTTCTAGGTAATAATTCATAATCATCTGATGAAATTATTTCTAATTTTTTCGATAACAATTCCTCCTTTTTTATAATCACCAACTGCTTTGATTTATCTGCCATAACTAAAGAAATATGTTTTTTATATAAAAATTTAATTAATCTTTTCATTTTTTTAACTATTTTAACAATAATTTTTTAAACTATATTAACAAAATGTTCTTGACCTGAT